CTTTGCTCCCAGGTGAAATGAGAACAAAGCAGACAGAGAGTTTTGACTAATAAAATATTAAAGAAGCTTAGTAGTACTAGTAAAAATAATAATAACAAGAATTGTTGTTGTGTTGTTGTTATTATTATTATTACTACATATCAACGTAGGATGAGGGAAAGTAATTATGTCAAACATTTCTAAAACAAGATTGCAAGTTTTACTGCTTAAATATAAGTATTTTGTTGCCTCTGTAAGCAACTGTCTGGCTAGAAAATCACTTTGATTAAAAAGGTAGAAGAATATAAACTCAATTGGTTCACATTAGTGTAAACTCAGCACACTAATCTTAAAATAACAAAAAGAGGAACTGTCCTTAAGCAATTCTTTTCCGGAGAGGTTCTGCAGGGACTGAGTGTTGTCTTATACTGTTCAGTGTTGTGTTGTGTTGTTTTGTTTTAAACCATGGCCTGGATAAAATCCTGAGTGATGAAGTTTGCAGCTGACACAGAGGTTGGAACAGTGGTTGGATAGAACAAGAACAACTGCCTAGCACTGAGTAAATTGTAGCATACATCCACTGTCAGTTTCAGAACAAAAAAACCTCAGGATGATGCTTTTCCGCCCTTGGTACATGATGGATCATGCAACATCTTTTTACAAAGTCCTTGATCTACTTAGAGTCCCACTAACTCACAGCAAATGACCTGCCACCTGCATAGCATGTGTGTACATGTCAAAAACCTGGCAAGCATTTCTGGACTAACTTCTCATGTGTTTCAAATCACAGTCATCCTGACTGCAGGGAGTGACACCATGCAGGTCGAACTTGGAGCATCAGTGACTATAATGAAGACAGGTAACACTGGAAAGTCCTGGAACAACAGTAAGGATTAGCCACAGGTGGTTGTGGCACTTAGCTCTGTGGCAAAAGGAGTAACAGGATCCTTGGATTCACAACCAGGAAAGATTTTGGGTTGGAAATATTGCTTGAGCTCTTTATATGGCTCTTAATGTGAGTGACTTAATCACAGTTGGTCAGAACGGAATCTGAAAAAGGTCTAGCTGCCTCAGAAGGGAGGAAAGCAGACTTATACTGTCAACATTTAGATCTAGAAAGGTACTTGTTCAACAACTACCTAACCCCTGAGGCAATTAAATTGATTTGACACCTCTCTGTTGATCTGCAAAGATCCCCCAGAACCTGCAGTTCTATTCCTGTGAGTGCCCTGGACTGTCCTGGCCACACATATCTGCTGCTTCCCCTTGCCTAGGTTGGATCAGGCTTCCAAATCTAGGCAGAGTATTGCAGTCCCTGGAGCCCCCTCAACATTCTCAACAAGACCACCTCCACCATACACTGTCATACACCACCCACAGCTCTTCTCACCTCTATGTACATGTTGTACATTAAACAGCCCTGAATGAAATCATTCCAGGAGCAGAACTTGTTCCTGCCCTTCTTTCCCATGCCAGCCAAGTGTTCTATTCACTAGTGTGAAGTGCTTGTCCCATGGTTCTCAGCCTTGCCTACGACAAACTCCATGCAGCCCCTCACTCCATGACTGCTAGATAACCAGGGTTTGGGTTCCTAGTCAGGAGCAGGCAC